GGAATATTATGGAAAGACCAAATCTAAGAATAATTGGACTAGAAGAAGAAAATGGATTCAAAGGCACAGATGACCCATCCAGCAGGTCAGGTTGTTCGAGGGTCTCAAGGAGGGAACCACCTGAAAGCCAATGGGGGTGAGAGAAGAAGGAGACCAGGCGCATAAAGAAAGACAGAGTCAGTCTGAGTCGCGTCAAGGTCTCGTTTATTGGCAGGATGTTGCAGCTTATAAGCAGGATTTCAGGCAGGGAGGGGGAGCAGGGACAGTGGAAAATTTTTGAGAAGAAGTCAGGGTGGTCAGGGTAGGGTGCTGTGGAATGTTCTGTATGGCAAATGTGTTGCTAATTAGTTAATAAATAAAACACTGATTGGCCATTGGCTAGGCAGGAAGTGTAGGCGGGACAAGGAGGAGAATAAAGCTGGGAAGTGGAAGGCTGAGTCAGAGAGATGCTGCCAGCCGCCACGATGAGAAACAGAATGTGAAGATAGCGCTAAGCCACGAGCCATGTGGCAAGGTATAGATTAATGGAAATGGATTAATTTAAGCTGTAAGAACAGTTAGCAAGAAGCCTGCCACAGCCATACAGTTTGTAACCAGTATAAGTCTCTGTGTTTACTTGGTCAGGTCTGAGTGGCTGTAGGACTGGCGGGTGACAGAGATTTGTCCTGACTGTGGGCCAGGCAGGAAAACTCTAGCTACAAATGGCGTCCAACGTGGGTGGCAAGAGTTTCCACCTAAAACCTGAGAAAAGATTCTAAAACGGAGCTAAAAACAGTTCCTAATTGTCTCTCTCAAATGAGCGGCAGCTGCTGGTTTGAGCTACTGGTGGGTTCCTAGCGTGCGTGCTCGACCTGCCTATGGCGGGAATGAGGCCTTTGCAAGTGGCACTTTGAGCTGCATGGTGGATTTAGCCTTTGCTGGTGCAGAGCAAAAGGGGAGGTTTCTGGGCTACACGCTGCTTGGCTAAAAGCATAGACCCCTGATAGCTCCCAGAGCTGGTGGTAAACCATGGCTATGTTGGGAAGCTGAGGTGGTTGGATCCAGCAGCCACAGCTGCTGCAGTTTAAGGCAATAGATTCACAATAAGACAGATTCAGATGTAATAGTTTACAATGTGTGTAAAAGATACGTAGGCTTGAAAGAGACAAAATATGATATATAGAGTTATAGAAACAAATACATAGTTTTAAAAAATAAAGTCTTTAAAGAGACAGTAAAGGTAGTATAAAAAATAAGCCATGTAAAAATGGATATTACACAGAGAATCTGCATTGTGTTGTCTTTGGGACTTTTAACTGCAGAAAAACATTTGATTGTAAAATCTGTTGAGTTATGCCAAAATGTATATTTTAAAGGTACCTTGACTTCAAAATTTGGATATAAGGATATGTTACTTTGGAAAGGAGACTCTGCTTTTGTTTCCACAGAAAGCCAGAGGCTATGGATTTGTTCCAGATTAAGATACATCAGGTTTGACCAGCTAAGACCCCCTGAAAGGTCTCAGATGACACCATGGCCCAGATGATCCAACATCCAGAATGGTTTGAAGGCAACTGGCTCAGACGATACACCCTCATGGACTATTCCATAATCCTAAAATTTTCTTTGTTTCCCCATAAGATACAGCGCCCCCTCCAGCAGGAAGTAGTAAGAGAAGCTACGCCCAAATTCCCAAATTGTATGTAATTTTACTTTGTTAAGGTTAAAACCTTCCTTTTGGAAAAAAAAAGGGGGGAAGTGCTGTGGGATGTTCTGTATGGCAAATGTGCTGCTGATTAGTCAATAAATAAAACACTGATTGGCCATTGGCTAGGCAGGAAGTGTAGGCGGGACAAGGAGGAGAATAAAGCTGGGAAGTGGAAGGCTGAGTCAGAGAGACGCTGCCAGCCGCCACGATGAGAAACAGAATGTGAAGATAGCACTAAGCCACGAGCCATGTGGCAAGGTATAGATTAATGGAAATGGATTAATTTAAGCTGTAAGAACAGTTAGCAAGAAGCCTGCCATGGCCATACAGTTTGTAACCAGTATGAGTCTCTGTGTTTACTTGGTCGGGTCTGAGTGGCTGTGGGACTGGCGGGTGACAGAGATTTGTCCTGACTGTGGGCCAGGCAGGAAATCTCTAGCTACAGTAGGGTGTTTCTTTGGTCCCAGGCTTCTGCAGCTGGCTGTTTACAGTTTATGACAAGTGGTTTATCTAAACGTACATTTTGTGGTTAGGCCAAGGACGCCCTGTTTTTGCAAGACTCCATGAAGCAGAAGACTCAAGACATAACAGTCCTGGGTCAAACAGTCCTGAGTCATTCTCCAACCATTTCCCCCTCTTTTCTTTAAAAATAGACCATGTTTGCGGTCGAGCTTTAAGAGGTCTGGGGTTCCAAAGGAATGGCTTCTGGAGGATCACAGGGGCCCCGTCCCTCTATGCTATGAGAAAGAGGTCCGGGAGACAGCATCTCCCCAGATTCAAACACTACAGGCGTCCCCATGGTGCGGGAATCAGCAGACCGTGCGTTTTTTCGGAGGGAATGGAAATTGATAAGCACTGAGCGTTAGGCTGCTACCCCACAATCATCATGCAATGGGGCATGTAATCCAGGCTCTCGGGATATTAGGGCACCCATGTCCCCAGCCTGTGCAGTCACAGCTGCACTCCAGTCATGCCTGGAGCTTCCCCTCACACAGGGGCGGCCTCGCCCGAGTCGAGGGGTCTGTGTGGGGCATCTTCATCGTGGTCCAAGGGATGTTAGGACCCGAGGACATTGAATCTGAGTCTTTGGGGGGGCTCCTGGCAACTCTCCTCTGTGTCTAGTCTGTGATAGTGAATTGAAATATGCTGTGGTAAAGCCAAATCAATCTGATTTTTGATAAATCGAGTCAACCGCTGAAAAGCCCAGGGGCCAAAGGTGATGATGAGGAGAAGAATAATCAAAGGAGTTAAAATGGTGGGTAACAGGGTGGAGAGCCAGGGGGATCCTTGCAACCAATCTTCAAACCATCTGCGCTGATTTTCAAACTCCCTTTTTCTTTGAGCTAGCCTTTCTCTTAATTTTTCCATGGATTCTCTGACAATACCAGTATGGTCTGCATAAAAGCAACATTCTTCCTTTAGGGCGGCACATAAACCTCCCTCCTTTAGGAACAGCAGATCTAGACCCCTTCTGTTTTGTAGTACTACCTCTGAAAGTGAAGTGAGGGACCTTTCAAGGGCTGAAATGGATCTTTCTATAGCCTCTAGATCAGTGGTCATGGCCATTTGTAACTGCATCAAGTGGCTATTTTGTACAAGAGCAGTGGTTCCTGTACCGACTCCAGCAGCAATGACTCCGATGCCTAACAAGAGGGCAATAGTCATAGATACTGGTTCTCGAGTGAATCTGCCCCTCTGCTCAAAGAATTCTATCACTGAGCTTTCCTCATGAAGTGACACGAGGCCACAGCTGAACAAGTACACAGAATTCATGGGATTTATTAAATATCTGAGCAGACACACAGGGGGTTAATCCGGTGTTGCAGGCCCAGTAGGACCTATTAGGTGCCTCAAGAGAGTAGCTTCCCTTGGTGGGTGCTATTGTCTGATTGCAGAGATGTTGGTGAGTCGATGGTACCATACCCAAACAGAATCCTTGCCCTGAGATTTCAGAGAGTGTCAATCTATGAGGGTTAGTTTGGCACCTGCTGCTAGGGGAAGAGAGGTTGTTGGCAGTAGACTGAAAGGCGATTCCCTCATAAAAAGGGGGGCTGGAGGTAAGGCAAAGCCAGCAATCCAAGGTCTTATCCGGGCTTGTAGTATTTAAGGCTATATATGCTCCTTGTTTTAAGCTAAACAGTCTATTGTCTGTGGTCTATGGGGTAAAGAAGGAGGCATTTGGTAGAGAGGAGGAGAGGGTGCCAACAGGAGTGGGTGCTGGGGTAGCCGCTGCTTTGGCTGGGGCTGGGAGTTTGCCTAGAGTTTTGGGGAGGACTGGGTTGGGTCCAATGGGGACGGAGCTAAGATTTTCTATTTGTAATTTTATTGTAAACGTTACTCCTGGGTCTGAGCCTGACTGATACCATTGCAGGCCCCAGGTAGCCCAACCTGAAGATGATTTTCCTTTCTCAGTAAAAGAGATGTTGAGGGGAAGGGACAGTCCCCACATAAGGGATTTTGGTATATTGTTCCAGTAGCATCCACTGGCCCCTGTATAGATTTTGTTGTAATTTCTCTTAACAGTTATCAGGTCCCAGGAGGATGAAGGGCGCCAGCAGGCACTTCCAGTTGTTTCGCATCCCCATGAGGCACAGAAATACTTTTCGAATCCTCCGCATTTATGTGCCTGGGCAGGATTTCTACCATCTTTGGGACAGACATAAAAGTCAGACTGAGCAAGTCGACAGCGTACGGTGGGACTGCTGCATCCAGTGTAGGCGCGCTGACTATGAGGGGAACTATCATGACTTGTATTTAACCCGTTGATACCTTTATCCGGGATGTCCCAAGTGTCTAATCCCGCAGCCAATTGACAAAAATCAGGGGTCAGGTCCGGCCACCATGACAAAGGGGCGCGATTGGTAGATGTCTGCCAGACCGTTTCCCCAATTTGGGAGATGACCTGTCAAGTGAGTTTTTTAAAGGCATGGGGACTGGCCTCAGCCATAGAGTTGGCGGTCAAAATTAAAAGAAAAGGAAGAGCATAGAGGCAGTTTTTCCCGGTCCTGAGGCATGCTGGGAGAATGGTCCTTCTCTTTCCTTGGGTTGCAGGGGTACCTGCAAAAGAAAGATTCATGTCTCAGGGCTAATTCCTGGACCCAAGGTTATTATTTATTTTTTAGGGGACCCTTTTTACAGAGTAGGGTTTAATTAATCTTGAGGGCAACCAACGGGCCCCATTTCCCTTGGTGTCATAGATGCATGTGGACCCTTTTCCCCAGATTAGTACTGGATCTGGGCCACCCCATTTTCCAGTGATGGGATCTTTCCAGAGAACCTGGGCGTATCCTGGGCTGGTCTCTGGGTGCCCGTGTCATTCGGCTGCGGATTTTCCCAAGCCATCCAAAGTCAAGAAATTTAACACAAAGAGGGCATGTGCAAGCAACATTCTTTGATTTCCCTTGATGGGGAACAAGGTTTCCTGTGAGCTGAGTTTACTAATAGTGTTCTTTAGGGTTTGGTGAGCCCGTTCCACAATGCCTTGTCCCTGGGGGTTATAGGGTATTCCAGTGACATGCTTTATCCACAATTGTAAGCAGAATTGTTTAAACCTATTGCTGGTGTACCCCGGGCCATTATCTGTTTTTATGCATTTTGGCTGCCCCAGCACTGTAAAGACATGTAACATATGATTGATAACATCTTTGGTGGCTTCTCCACTATGAGCAGAGACACAAATAAATCCACTGAAGGTATCTACAGTAACATGTATAAACTTTAATTTGCCAAAAGAAGGAACATGGGTGACATCCATCTGCCATATTTGTCCAGGTATAAGCCCTCTGGGGTTTACTCCATAATGAGGTTCGGGTAAGAGCATCAGGCAATTTTTACAGCCTTTTACAATTTCTCTAGCCTGTTCTCTAGTAATTGAGAACCTTAGTCTCAGAGTTTGAGCATTGAGGTGATGAAGGCGGTGTGCCTCACGAGCGGCTGCTACCTGATCTTGTTCCAAGTGAGAAATCAAGATATAACGTGTAGCAGAATCGGCAAGTTCATTTCCCTGAGCTAGGGGTCCAGGTAGGCCTGTGTGGGCATGAATATGGCCAACATAAAAGGGTAGTGACCTCTGTCGGATTAATTTTTGTAATTCAGAAAACATTTGGAAGGTGGGAGTAATGGGTTGGATTATTGGGACCATTATCTATTAAATGTATCTGAGCCAAACAAATCTAGGCCCAATCTTGAAAATATCTCTAAGTTTGGTACCAATAACCAGGCCAATTTGTTCTCTTATATATATATTAGTTAAATATACCTCTTAGTTTTTGGTTTTTTTTATTAAAATAGAACAGTTTATGCTTTAAACTCGTATCTGAATAGCCAGATGACTAGTATTAACTTGTATTCCTTAACATAAAGGACATGCAAACTCAGACATTCAAAACCAAACATACATGTGGCCACATTTTTCACTCATACCTGTAGAGTAGACAGACATTTTTACAACTATGACCCTTCTGAGTCTCAATGTAACAGCAGAATAACAAGACAAAGAAATCTGAAACATGTTTCAGTTTTTTATATATCTCAAGTCATTTTTTTAAAATCATTATTTAAGCCTTTTTATCCTCAGACCTTTATACCTTGCTTTTAGGTATTTTAATAACTTGCGTTTTACATATTTTTTAAAACATTTTTTTATCTTAACCAATAATAATTTGAAACCAATTCTCTTAAATGATGGCAAGTATTTGTAACCCATTGAACTCAAATGACCAAAACCTATGTAAATTTTTATTTTTCCTGTGGAAACAAAAGCATAATTTTCCCAGTATCTTGAACTGGTAATTTAACATTTCTTTTTAAGCAATATCAGGACAGAGAAGGGTTAACAAGAGAAGCTGCTGGCCAGCAGAAGAGACCTTGAAGTTATCACAGTAAAGGAAGGGAAGGGGAGCAGTGGGCATAGAGCATGTCCTTGGCTGCCAGTGTTCCTGAAAAAAAGTTTTGTTAACTCCTCTGACTAAAGTCAGATTCTCTGTTCAGTGTTTACACAGTTTTTGTCAATTGCAGGCAGTCCCCATTGCCCTGTCCAGAGCTCCTGTCTTTGCCTGCTTGTATGGAGAGCATGCACCCCCACCCTCTTGAGAGCAGCCAGCTGGCTGCAGTCCTGATAGCAAGAGAGCTAGGGAGGGACAGAGGTGGCCTTTGTTATGTCTCTCTTTCCTCCTCTTCCTTTAGGAAAATAAGGGAGGTTAGTAGACAGAAACAAATAACATTTACACAGACAATCCAAGAACCGGAATATCAGCACTGAGAAGACAGCCTCATTCACAGCCAGCAAGTCCCTCTTGCAGTATGCAAGCCCCACCTCGCAGGAGCTACCTGTTTATATCAGTTCAGTCGGGGAGTGGGGGTGGGGGACCCAGTTCCCTCTATTGTGGCTCACACATCCTTCCAGTGGGCTAGGCAAAGGTCTAGTGGAGAAGAAGGGAACTGTCCCATAGCATCCTTCACAGTCAAGTCAACAATGAGAACAGTTAATACATTACACACAAGACCAAGGGCACATGAAAAAACTTTGCCCCAAGGAGACAACCAACAATGCTCCAAGAACAATGACAGCCTGATGTGCTCTGGGTGGGGTGGGGGGTAACCCTCCAGGCTCAATCACATCAAAAACAATCCAGACTCGAGGATCTCTGTCCTTAATCAAACAGACATCAGGGGCTTCCACATCCCTGTCAATCAGACATGCACCTTTTTTTTCTTGGAAGAGAAGGAGAGAGTAAAGTAACAATGATCACAACAAAACATACAACCCCTCCCCCCCCAAATGGCTCTGACAATTTCCTGGGACAAAATACAAAGTGGCACTTCCTCCCACCGTGGGGGAAGATACCCAAAGATGCTCCTAAACCAAATGGTCACCTCTGAGGTGGCCTTAGGGCTCTGGGATGTCTCCCTTTGCCGCCAGGTAGACTGTCTGGACACGTCTGTCCCAGTGAGCCTGCAAAGTACAAATCAAGCCTGCAAAGTACAAAACAAAAGTAACAAGACAGAGAGACACAGACAAGACAGAGAGCACTCTTACTGGTAGATGTCAATAAACCTCTGGACCCTTGGGTGTCAGGCAGGGGGAGTTTGAGAGAAAATCCTCTGCAAGGGCTAGTAAATGTGAAACATGCCCACCTCCCTCTGCTTCCTTTAGAACATCTCTAATCACACCATAAAAACTAAAAAAGGCGTCGGGGATGTTTTCCCCGTCTCTGATTAATTTGTTAATATCTTTTCCAACCTACCATTCTAGCCCCCTTAATTGTTTTTCTCCTTCTCATAACGGGCTGCCTCCTCCTCTAAACTGACTTCCGAGGCGGGGTCTAGCCAATGATCACCCTTGTCTTTGTGGATAACAGGATAGAGAGACTTAATGGGAGGGGGAGATTTGATTAAAGGGGAGTCCAAGTCCTTTTCCAATATGGGCTCATCAATCAGAGAAGGAGCGTGAGAGCCAGTCTCCCCTGTGGCCTCGTTGACGAGGCTGCTCTTGCTTTCGCTTTGACCATCGGTTCTGTCTGGTCTGTCTGTGTTGGCTATGGCGTTAACGCTCTCATCTTTTTGACCTGTCTTACCTGAAGCTATTTCACCCCCTTTCTTTTCTGGAACTGTTTCATTATTCTGGCCTGCCTTAACTGAAGCTATTTCATCCTTTTTTCCTTCTGGACAGGATACATCATTTAATAGGTTCTCTGCGAGTGCCAGTAAGTGTGACACTTTACCATCCTTTTCTGAGTCTTTTAGGATATCTCTTATTACTCCATAGAAACTGAAAAATGCATCAGGGATATTTCCCCCTTCTTTGAGCATCTCATTGATATCTTTTCCTACTTAATTCCAAGTCAGAGGGTGAATGCCCGGGCCGTTGATGACCAGCCAGGGACATTTCTCCTCCACAAAACAGAAAAATTCCATAAGTCTTTCTTTTTTACTCTTACTCCCCTCTCCCTGAGACTCTCCTGCATCTCTTTTATGAAGAGAGCTTCTTTAGACAAAACTTTGCCCATGGCTTATGGGGCGACAAGTCTTACCTCAAGGTAGCCCGCGTCACATGAGTGATGCTGTCTGGGCGCCTCTACCAAAATATGTATGTCCAGCCGGACCTTCTTTTCGTCTGTCGTCCGGTGGGTCACCGTGCCTCGAGCCCCACGTTGGGTGCCACATGACCCATCCAGCAGGTCAGGTTATTTGAGGGTCTCGAGGAGGGAACCACCTGAAAGCCAATGGGGGTGAGAGAAGAAGGAGACCAGGCACATAAAGAAAGACAGAGTCAGTCTGAGTCGCGTCAAGGTCTCGTTTATTGGCAGGATGTTGCAGCTTATAAGCAGGATTTCAGGCAGGGAGGGGGAGCAGGGACAGTGGAAAATTTTTGAGAAGAAGTCAGGGTGGTCAGGGTAGGGTGTTTCTTTGGTCCCAGGCTTCTGCAGCTGGCTGATTACTGTTTATGCCAAGTGTTTTATCTAAACGCACATTTTGTGGTTAGGCCAAGGACGCCCTATTTTTGCAAGACTCCATGAAGCAGAAAACTCAAGACATAACAGTCCTGGGTCAAACAGTCCTGAGTCAGTCTCCAACACACAGAAAATATTTAAACAAAATCATACCAAGAATTTTCCCTAACACAAAGAAGGAAGTGCCTAAAAAGGTACAGGAAGCAATCAGAACAGTAAGTAGACTGGACCAGAGACAATTTCCCTTAGTTCATAATAAAAATACTGAATGTATAAAACAAAGAAGTTTATTAGAAGATGAAATGGAAAATGATCAATTAACCAATAAACACATAAAGTCAGAGCCTAACACCTGACTTCTTTGTGAACTCTCTCTTTTTTTCTTTCTTTCTTTATTTCTCTTTTTCTTTGGTTTTTTGAGACTGGGATTCTTTGTGTAGTTTTGGCACTTTTCCTGGAACTCACTCTGTAGCCCAGGCTGGCCTTGAACTCACAGAGATCCACCTGCCTCTGCCTCCTTGGTGCTGGGATTAAAGATGTGCACCACCACCGCCTGGCATTTTTTTTGACTCTGTGAAGTCTTTAAAAGTCAGAATGTCATGGGCAAATATTATACAGACTCTAAGAGACCTTTGCTGCCAACCCAGACTACTATACCCAGTAAAACCTACAGTCACCATTGATGGACAATATAAGATATTTGACAATAAAACTCAATTTTAGCAATAGCTGTCTATAAATATTGTCCTACAAAAGGCAATAGAGAAATCATATACCCTAAAGAGGTTAATCACACCCTAGGTGATAAATAATTCCAGACAAGCAAATCAGAAGAGTAAAGGCACACACACACACACACACACACACACACACACACACACACAAACACACATGACATAGGCACTACCACCACCATCAAAACAACAACAAAATAACAGGAATCAACAATCATTTGTCATTACTATCTCTCAATCTCCATAATTTCAATTCCATAATAAAATTACCCACACTGATAGAATGGATGTGAAAACAGAATCCATTCATCTGCTTAGGAGACACACCTTTACATCAAGGATAGATATCATCTTAGGTAAACAAATCAGAACTATATATTCCAAGCAAAGGACCTAACAAGCACTCAGGTGTAGCCATTTTAATATGTGATAAAATACACTTCAAAAGAAAATTGATGAGAAGAAATAGGAAATGTTGTTACATACTCATCAAAGAAATACTCCACCTAGAGGACATTGCAGTTTTTAACATCTATGTACTAAAATTAAGGATACACTAGTACAAAAATAAAACACTGCTATGTCTTAAGTGACATATTGACTCCCAAACACTGATAGTGGAAGACTACAATGTCCCACTCTCATCAATGGACCAGGCATGCAGACAAAAATTAAGCAGGAAAATGCTGAAGCTTGCTGACATTAAAAAAAATGTTCTAAGAGTTATTTTGGAACTTTTTACTCAAACATGCACAAAAAATACTTCTTCATAGCAGCTTATATAAGTTTTTCCAAAACTGACCACATGCCCAGATACAAAGCAAGTATCAACAGATACAAGAAAAATTGAAAGAGCACCTTGCATCCTATCTGAGCACCGTGGTTATATCTGGAATCAACAACTATAGAAACAGGAGAAAGTTTACAAACCCATGGAAAATATAGGACTAACTACT